AACTGGGAGGGGTTTTGCACACTGATAATGGGTGAGTGAAAGAGGTCTGTTGTAAAGTCTTAAGGTCCTGGTGCACCTGCATGAACATTTAAAAGTAACCAACCAACACTCCCTTCCAGGATCAGTCCTCACAGTGAGACGGAACTGAGAATACAATTGAGCATCCCCTGAAAAACAGACAAAGGAAAGAGAAGGTCCAGATGAAAGTGTTGGAGAGGAACAGAGCCAAGATATTTCAGAGACCAAAGCAATATATTTTCAAATGCTTTATGAAAACAAAAGAGGGAGTTTTAGAGTATGAAGTTCGAATAGCTTCTAGGCCAGGCCTCCTTTATTTATTTTTTTTGTTTTGTTTTTTTATCTTCACCCAAGGACATTTTTTGCATTTATCTTCAGATAGAGCAAGAGGGAGAGAGGGGTGAAGAGAGAGAGAAACATCGATGTGAGAGAGACACGTAGTGGTTGTATTGGTAGTACTTGGAGACTCTGTGTAATGTGAAATAAAAAGCAAATGAGTAATTGTGTTATTCTAATCCTGTCATAAACTGTGTCCTTGAGAACCACAATACTGGCTGCCACCCACACGACCCTAACTGGAGCTGGGGGCAAGCTGCAACAGAGGTGCATGCCCTTAGGGGAAACCGAACCCAGGACTCTCCGGTCTGTGGGACGATGCTCTAACCGGACAGGGCTTGACCAGGCCTCCTTTAAAAGTTAGAAAAAATGTATTTTATTTAAATACCAGAATTTTGAAATTATTGTCAGATCTCAAAGTTTTTATAGAAAAATGAGACTCAGAATAGTATCCATAGACAATGAAAGCACACCAGAAAGACATATCCACAAAAGAGATGAATATCATTAGATATTAAGACAAAGGCAAGACAAAAAACATTGTTAGAGCATTTCAAAGAAAACATGTTTGCACAAGAGGAAATTTTAAGACCTAGGTGGTAGAACTTGAAGTAAATTACTGGAAATGAAAGAAAATTTATTTTAGAAATGATGACAGATTATAAGGCGCAAACAAGAGCAAACAAGCAGAATATCTTAAGAGAAAGATCTTGAAAGGAGAAAGACATTAAAAATAAAAAGGATAAGAAAGGTATAAAAAATTTGATAAAAATTGACATTAAAAACAGGCACAGATCCAGCATATGTTAAAATAGGAGTTCCCGGAAAAGAACAAAAAATAGATAGCAAAGGATCAGATACAAAACTGAATTAAAATAGTATTTTTGGAGATTGATTTTGAAAGAACACAGCACATACTTGGGAACAATAACAGAAAGACCAAAACAGACATAGTCTAGCCCTGGCCAGTTTGGCTCAGCGGTTAGAGCATCGGCCTGCGGTCCGGAGAGACCCGGGTTCGGTTCCCGCTAAGGGCACGTACTTCGGTTGCAGTTTGTCCCCGGCCCTGGTTGGTCGTGCGGGTGGCAGCCACTCGATGTGTCCCTTCACGTCGATGTTTCTCTCTCTCTCTCTCTCCCTCCCACTCTATCGTACAAAAAATGGAAAAATATCCTCGGGTGAGGATAAAAAACAAACAAACAAAAAAAAAAACAGACATAGTCTAGTAAAATTATACCTTTCTACAGTAACAATTTATGAGAGAAGACATATTATGAGAGAATTTATGAGAGGACACAGTTTAATATGGAATTCTATATTTAAGATACTCAAGAAACATGAGCCCAAAATTTTACATATAACCAAACCGGATTTCAAGGGTAAAAGTCACAAACTGTTATTAGAATGCTAGAAATTGAAGAATATTGTTCCCATCAGCCCTTCCTGGGGAATCTAGTAGAGAACAAACTTCAGAGAATCAAAATTACTAAAGAGACGTTAACTTACGGACTGATAGTTAGCATTGCACATATAGTTAGAGAACCAAGACTAAATGAGGGTTAAAAAAGGAGACAGTATGGTCTATAAAGAGGTGGGAAGGAGAATGGAGGGGATCATACGCAAGACATTTTAAAAACTATTTTCAGTAATCATATTGGTAGTGGTTGTATTGGTATTACTTGGAGACTCTGTGTAATGTGAAATAAAAAGCAAATGAGTAATTGTGTTATTCTAATCCTTTCATAAGCTGTGTCCTTGAGAACCACAAGACTCAGAAGAAAGGACAGAGACGACTCAGATTGGAGATTGGGGGATGTATGTGTGTATAGGGTGGCTGGGGCAAGAGAAAATAAGCCAAATATTTAACTCTAGGAGTTTTTAAAAAGGAAAATAGATAAGTAACCCTTTTACCTGAGAAGAAGGATTAAAAAAAAAAAAAAATGCAGGAGGAAGAAATTAACAGTTTTAAAAAATTACAAAATAAAGGAAAACCAATAAAAAGGAAAACAAAATAAAATGGAAAACCATTAAAAAAAATTACAAAATGTACAGATTTGATCGATAAAATCTATTTAATGTTCAATTGGAAAATTTGGTCAGAAAGAAATGTAAAGACAAAATACTAGAAATATGAAAAATGAAGTTTCTAAGAACATAAGCAGTTATGCCTGTGAATTTGAAAGTCCAAGAGAATTCGATGGTTATTATGGACAGGTTTATCAAGCATATAAAGAACAGGACATCTGCATGCTGTTTAAATTCAAAGTACAGAAAAGAAATAATGGAAGGCACCAATTTTACTTAACGAGAGGAATAAACCTGGATATCAAAATCTAGCAATATCAGATCTGCTACATAATCTTCACTATGACCCACCATATCCTGTTTTCTCTTGTGAGACTTCTGGACAACATGAATGGGCCTCTGTGTCCTCTGGCTTCTTACTGGATTTGGAAATGGGGAACTCTGGCAAGAGTTGGAGAAAGGGGGAGACCAAAGTTGGGTATTTATTCCCCTGGCTTACTCCCTGTATGTAGGTTCCATAGTCTGGCTCTCCTGAAAGTCCTAGTCCTTCCTTGGGGAGCCTTTGGGTGATAACAGGTTCTTAAGTGAACCATCTGCTTTCTGTAGACCCTTTCTGATACAATAGATGAGTTTAGGATTTTGCATTTGTAGAAATATGAAATTAAAAGATGTACTACTTTTGGCTATTAAGAAAATATACAGTACAGAAAAATGTATTACTTACAAATTTAAGAAAAACAAAATTTATAAACATTTAAAATGTATAATACAGACAAAGGTTTTATATAGTGTTTGACTTTCTGCCATTTATTACAACAGTAAGTCTTCACTTAATGTCATTGGTAGGTTCTGCGACATTAAGAAAATGACATAATAAAACCAATTTTATCATAGGCTAATTGATATAAACAAGAGTAAGTTCCTATGTTATCTCATCAATGATATAATGAAGTGACATTTAACAAAATAACATTTTTCAAGGACCTGATGTCTTGCATCTGTGTTTTCTGAGTGTGATCACTGAATTGTGGTTATATAGAAGAATGCCCTTGTTCTTAGAGATATGCCTTAGGGATATCCTATGTAACTGTCAGATGGGAAGCAAAAGAAAATTGTATGTGTGTGTGTAAGAAGAGACAAAGTAAATGTGTCAAAATGTTATAATTAGTGCGTTTTTGTTAAGGTATATGGATATTCACTGCTAATATACTTGCAACTCTTGTGGCTTTGAAATTTTCAAAATAAGAAATTGGGGGAAATATTGAAACAAAAAATGAAATATTTCTTTTTTTTTTTTTTATCCTCATCCGAGGACATTTTTCCATTTTTTGTACAGACAGAGTGGGAGGGAGAGAGAGGATGAGAGAGAGAGAGGGAAACATCGATGTGAAAGGGACACATCGAGTGGCTGCCACCCGCATGACCAACCAGGGCCGGGGACAAACTGCAACCGAGGTACGTGCCCTTAGCGGGAACCGAACCCGGGTCTCTCGGGACCGCAGGCGGACGCTCTAACCGCTGAGCCAAACCGGCCAGGGCAAAAAATGAAATATTTAATATAGATAAAGAGATTTATAAAACTAATAGGAAACATAAAATGCCAGCATTTGAACAAGCAAATCTCTGAAGGAGAAATACAGACAACCCCTACACAAAATGATGCTTGACTTGAATAATAAAGGAAGGCAAATTTAAATAAGCTGTTTCATCCATCAAAGTAGCAGAGATTCAAAACCAGTGATTATGCCCAATGCCGATGGGGATGTAACAACTTTAACGGGAAATATATCTTTGTGCCTACCATTTTGTATGCAGCCTGGCAGTATCTGAGTGCTCAAAAATCTGTATGATCTTTAATCACAGCAATTTCCTTAAATGAAATAAATCTAATGAGGTAACAGGAGAAGTGAGTAAGCTTGCCATGTACAAAGCATGTACTTGGCAGCATTGTTAATAGTAGCAAAAACCATTTAAATTTCCATTAATTGGTTTTTTTAAACTATGGTTTTATTGATTTTAGAGGGAGAGAGAGAGAGAGAAACATCCATGTGATCAATTGCCACCTGCAGGCCTCCAGCCAGGGATCATGTGCCCTGACTGGGAATTGAACCAGTGACCTTTTGGTGCGAGGGATGATGCTGGACCAACTGAACCACACCAGCCAGGGCCAGGGTTTGTTTTATACACAGAATACTACTATTTAACTGTTAAACACAGCAGTTAATATATTGATATAGAATGATATTCCTTATTGCTACATTAAAATAAAAGCAGATTAGAGAAAAATACAAATAGTACTACCATATTTCAAGTAAAATATTTACATATTATAGACATAATTTTATATATACCAATATTATAGAGCTTTTGAAAACCTGGTTGGGAGACTGTCAAAAAGTAGGAAAATTATGGGGAGTGGGACTTCATTCTTTCTTTTTGGATTTTTTTATTTTAAATAAATAAACATATAATAGAAAATGTAACAGTTTTCATTTAAAAGTCTTTGCAGTCATTTTTTAAAATTAAAATAATTTTGTGTATGCTGCTGTGTTCATATAGTCTTACTGAGTGTAAGAAATCTGTTAAGAAACTCATTTTGCTCTTGTCTATTCTGTTTTCAGAGCAGTGGAAAGAGCTCAGTGCTAGAAAGCCTCGTGGGGAGGGACCTGCTTCCCAGAGGCACTGGTATTGTCACCCGGAGACCTCTCATTCTGCAGCTAGTCCATGTTTCACCTGAAGATAAACGAAAAACAACAGGAGAAGAAAATGGTAAATTTTACAATTGGGATAAGAAGTATTTATTATTCTTGGTTGAATCTTAATGACATGAATTGATTAGACAGAAATTTGTGGCTGTAGCAGAAATCAAGTTCTGTGAAGAGAAGTGGTATGCATCTTTTCTCATGTAAAAACAGTAATTTTTGTTGTTTTGAGGAGGATGAGTAAACTTGTTTGGAATAGTACCTTTTTGGTATTCAGCTTAGTAAAACGTTGTTAATGCTGTTTAAATGGAAGATTTAGTGAGATGCTCAGAAAATGGGAATCAGTTATTTTAAATAAAAAGTTTTGTCTTGAGTATTTTAAACTTTTTTTGCTTAGTGTTTAAAAGTGTTTATGCTTTTTTTTAACTTAGCATTTAAATAATTTAGATTCTAGTTTAGAGATTTTAATTTAAGTAAGATTAAAATGACTGCCCTCCAGCATAGAAATGTTATCTCACCTTCCCTTTTCTGATCATACCAATGTGCCTGCTGAGTTAGAATCTTTTTTCCTTCACTAAGATGAATATTATTTTTAGAATAATAAAAATATTTTTACTATTCTTCTCTTGGTAAGGCTTACCTGTATAGCACATACTATTTTCTTTTTTAGATCCCCTTCCCCCAAATAGTAAATAGTAAATGTGTATTACTAAGATAAGAAAATACACTGTCCTTTATCACACTTCTTTGGTTAAACTGAAAGTATTTTAAGAAATGCTGTCTGTGTCTATCAACAGATTTTAAGTTGCTTATTAAATATGTATCCTATATTAATCATTTAAATTGGGGAAGTTTGAAATGTTTAATGAGAGTAATATGTAATATTCCTGTTTTTTTTTAGTTCAGTGTTTGGTTCAGATTTTCTATCAAATTTTGAAAATCTATAAAGCAGCTCTAATGATTCAATAACATTTGCAGTAGAGTACTATGTGTTTTTCATCTGCAGAGATCTGTTTTCAGTCCAGTTTCATTCTACTTTCTGTATCTGATCTAAGATGATAGTATTGGTGAAACTGAAGTTACTTTAATTTCCGTATTTGAAATTTTTTCCCCTTTACTTTTTATAGGAGCATTGGTGGTGGTAGCTTGATCCCTACCCCTGTCCTCCAGGGGTAAAAGACCTATCATGAGCATTTACATTGACTCTAGAAAGTGAATCACTGAAGCAAGTTAATGAAGTTGTTAACTACTTGTTCGGGATAGACTGCCCAAGGATATGAAGGATCCTTTTAATTATATTAGGTAGCTTCTTAGTGTAGTATTCATTACTTTGCATTTCTATTTTTTAATCAAAATTCTGGACCTTTAATCATTTTGCACTAATTTATGGTCTAGATTCAAATATATAGGATAACACTTAAAAATTTTATTCCCACTAACTTATTAAATCAAATTTGCCAAAGACCTTAAACTAAAATTTTAATAAACTGTATGGCATTAATTAGATGTCTGTCTTTTAACTTTTTGTTTTCTTCAGTCACCTTGAAAAGGGCAAATGATAACCTATCTCTCAAAAATGATTTGCAGATGTGGGCAGTGTTTCTAGAAAAGGGTGTACATTTCAGCTACAGAAGTGTTAGTTTCTCACTCTTTGCTTGTATGTCTACTATGTTCATTGATGTCTCCTCTTGGTGGTTGGTCAGTAAATCTGCATATCTTTACCTGTATATACATATATATTTTCCAAGCTTAGTGCTTATTATAGAAAAAAAATAAAACCTCACTTAAAATGACAATTCAGCTACTCAGAACACAAAATAGATTTCATAAATTTTGAGTACTAAATTTCATGTGTCCTATTAATAACTAGGATAGTTCCTTAGTTTCTTCTCAGAGCCTCTTTATTTTTGTGATAAACAATTATACCTAGTCATAAACCATTCTAACCCAGAGGATATTAGGAAGAATGATGCAGAAAAACATTTAGTTGGCCAGAAGAGTATGAACTACCTGACAGTCTGGCAGAGAGGAGAAAGGGAGGAAAACACAATCAGAAGATCCTCAACTGAGGGGGAAAAAATCAGTCTCCAACCATTTTGTATGGGGATTTATAGCCTGAGAGGGCTTTGTTATATAAGAAAGGGTGAAGTTACCAATAATAGGTTAATATAAATAAAATATTTTAATGTTTAATATATATAATTTGTCAGGAAAGTTTACTTAACATGAGTTCCTTCATTCTGCCAACTACATAGGATAACTGAGCTGTCAGTATATTGACTTATAGTACTTTTCAGCTTGTCCCCCACTTCTGCCAGTGTAAAAGAATTTTCTGATAAAATCTTAATTAAAACAAAATTAAACTGTTTATAGTGGGATGGTGGTTTAGTTTGAACTTTGAGTTCCATGATTATCTTTCATATATTTGTAAGAAAAAAAAATGCTTTCCTCAGATTTCCTTTTACACAAAATCCAAAAAGTAGCATGCTAAAGACCAAAATTGTTTTTGTGGTGTTCTGTTAAATTCAATATATATTTCAAAGAACAATCACTTATAAATTACTTACTCTTAAGTTTTTGAAAGATGTGTGTTTGGTGTGTTTTATAGATTCTTTTTGACCAGGCAGTTAACTTTTTTCCATAGTCATTAAATGTCTAAGGCAAATTTTTCAATAGTAAATTAATTTTAATCCATTTGTGTTAGAATTAGAAACCAGAAGCGACATAATTAGTTGTAATGGAAAATAAAAATAAATTATGACACATAACATGCTTCATTTATATCACTGAAAATATTATATAAATCCCTCTGACTAGAATTAATTGTACTAGAAATTATATAGTTGTAAATTTTGAATAATTGAGTGCTCTGTGAATTTTAAATATATTCAGGTTTCTGCACATTTTTAAAAAAGGTTTAAAATATTAGGGATAAGCACTAAACTTGTCATTCTGTGCTGTTTCTCTTTAACTACAGACCCTGCTACATGGAAAAACTCAAGACACCTTTCTAAAGGTTTCCTTTATCCATTTACTTTTGGCCCTTCTTTTTCTATTATGCCTGCATGTGTGCTTATGTACTCTTACAGGCTGTGTGCATTTTTTTCTTCCGTTTTTATTTGCCTCTCCACATTGATTGTTGCAGGTTTTAGTGGTTCTTGTTACCTTTTGGCATTTCATCAGAATGAAGGCTTTTTTGGTGGTGAATGTAATTTATTTTTATTTTAAAAAACATGCTTGTGAAGCCAGGCCTCTTTTATATAAGGTAAATTCAAAACACCTCTTTGGTATGTAGTACCTGCCTCTGTGAGTTCTGTTCACCTAGATTACTCCAGTCCTCCAAAGAGACTTCTTGGAAGAAGGTACTAAGCTTCAAGTAGGTGAGCATTTTACTTGTAAAAAGGATCCAGTTTTATTTACCTTTATTCCACCAAAGATTTGATCCACTTTTTCCTCCATAAATATTTATTTGAATATCTTACGGTCATTTTTATTTTTATTTCAGGAGGCTGATAGGCATTATTCATAAACTCACAGTCATTAAGACATTTAACACTGAATTTGGCAAAGCAGAATATCTTGTGCTTAGGGGAGGTAAAGTTAGTTTACCTTTCTACAATTAAACATTTCTAGCTTCTCTGGGAAAAATAAAGCAAAACTTGCTAAGATTTAGAGCACTTGAACAGTGCCTACAGTGCATATATTTTCCTTTTTTCAGCAAGTGTAGGAGAAACAGACTTATTATTAGAAACTAGTGGAGCAGAGCTACTCCATACAGTGCATATGCTAGGGTGTCCCTCTTGCCCTACTTCATTTATTTCCTACTTCAAGCCTAGAAAACATAATATTGGCCCTGGGGGGAAAATCACCATGAATGTGCATATAAATTACACAATAGCTTCACACTACTGAGAGCTCTTTAAAGGAACAATAACTTGTGACTTTATAGGTAACCAACAGGAAACCAAATTTAAAAAACAAAATGGGTTGAAAAGTTAGTGGTTTTATTCACCTATTGCAAATTTTTACCTTAAGTTATGTGTGTAAATCTATTATATATGCCTTTTGCCATTACTCAGCAAGATTCTTAATTTTTCTTCTTTTAAGCTATTAGCTTAATTGAGTACTTTGATCAGATAAACTACTTTTATGTGTAAGATATTTAAAAATAAAGAATATAGTTTTTACTATAATATAACAAACAAAATACGAAGAGAAGCGAACAGTTTTTTTTCCATAAAATCTAGATTTCAAATGATGCGATGACCTGTGAGCAACTCTATCTCAAATTATTCATATTTTTAAAATGAAACAATTTTTAAAATGTGAAAGGGTAATTTAGCAGATCTTAAAATACTCGTGTGTTGAGTTTTTGAATTCCAAAATAAAGGTTAAGAGTAACTTTCATAGTTTCCAATAATAGAGCTTTTCTTTTTCCCAGGAGTTGAAGCAGAGGAGTGGGGTAAATTTCTTCACACCAAAAATAAGGTAATGACAAAAAAATATCAAGAAGAAATAACATGTTGAAAAAATTTTGTATGCAAGTAGTTGATAATTTAGTTTCTTATCATCGGCAATGTGGCATGTTATCTTGAAGCAGCTGTTCTTTGTAAAATAAGGCTTATCTTAGTAACATTTCTAATCACAGTAGTTTATTTGGAAAACACTAATTTGAGCCCTATTCTCTCTTAATTTGGAGATTCTTTGTTTTTTTTTTTTTTTTTATGTTTACATTATGGTTGACATACAATATTCTATTAGTTTCAGGCATGCAATATAATGATTAGACATTTCTATACCTTATGAAGTGATTACCACAGTCAGTCTAGTACCCACCTGGCACTATACATAGTTATTACAATATTATTGACTGTATTCCCTATGCTGTACTTTATATCCTTATGACTTGTTTTTATATGGAGATTCTTAACTATTGTGGAATCAGGCAGCCTTGAAAAAAATCTCATAGAAAATACGATTCCTTGACTCAGAAAAATATATGTACATATTAGTATTTGTTTACTAATTCTCTGAAACAGATCTATAGACATCCTTGAAATTTATCAAATTCCCTTGCTTAAGAACTTTTTATCTTATTTTGAATATCATGCTTTTTTGTTTCAATAATTTTTAGCTTTACACGGATTTTGATGAAATTCGACAAGAAATTGAGAATGAAACAGAAAGAATTTCAGGAAATAATAAGGTAGGCATCTTTTTAGAGCTAGGAAAAAAAAACAATAAATCTCTCATTCAGGGTATTTTTAATATAATGTACGGTGAGCATTGTATATTCATAATCCTAGTCTTTGACACTCATGGAGTATTTTCACAAATATATTAAAACTTTAAAACAAATCCCATTTGTTTCTTAGAGCTTTTATATACTGTCAGATAAATCATTTAGATGTTTATTCTTGATTTTGTGATGTACATAACGCTTTATTATATAATTTTCTGTTTAATACTGCTACAATAAGTTACCTTTTTCTGATAGTTTGTATTCTAACTCAAGAAGCATTATATAATTTATAAGATACATATATTTTAAAGAGTTCCTTTTCTTACACCCAAGGCTGCAGTTATTTAATGCAAAAAGAGGAATTAAATATTTTTATTTCAGTGAACATGGAAACTACAGTTGACCCTTTAACAACGGTGGGGTTAGTGGAAAATCCCGACACTCTGCATGTTTGGATTCCCAGCCGTGAAGTTGACCCTTGAGAAACACGGGTTTGAACTGTGCAGGTTAATTGTAAAAAGTCCACGGGTAAATGAACCAGGCAGTTCAAACCCGTTTTATTCAAGAGTCATCTGTAATGTTAGCGACTGAATTATTTTCTTATTTTCTAAGATGGAGAATTTAAGCTAAATTAGGTATCTAAGATACCATTAATCTTGACACTAGGCACTATCAAACTGCCTTTTTAAATGCTTCTGTTTTCTCTCTCTCCTTTATTCTTATTACCTTTCTCTCTGTTCCCTTCCTTTTTATTTTTGCCTCCATTCTTATATTACCCAGAGGTACCTTTAATCCTATAAGTGGGCCCTAGCCTAGTACTGATATTCAGCAAATATTTATTGAGCCCTTTTACCTGCCATATACTGCGCTTGAGAGGTTATATCCTGACAGAAAGCGTTTTTGGAGCCATGTTAATTTCTTATGCCTATGCAGGCTATTTGTCTGTTTTAGTGATTTGTTCATTATTGAACTCTAGGCTGATAACCTTTGAGTTACTGCTACTGCTGCCATATGTCCCTGAATTTCTAAAAACTGTGTTGTACAGAAGATATAGAAAAAGTGACAGGAAACTAGATTAGCTTGTCCTCAGTCTTGTAATTATATCAGAGATAATTTTGACTTTTGGGATGTTATTAATCATAACACTGTCTGAATTACCTTTCCTGCGATTCCCAGGATTTACTGAACTCGATTTGGTGGTAATTTTACATAGTACTAGAATTTAGAGTGGGTGTGATTGGTAATTCAGAAAGGAAAGCTTTTAGTTATACTAAACTAAATGTAATGAAGGATCGAGTCCATATGCATACGAGATGTTTAATTTATGGTGGGCATATGATAGTCTTACCTACCAGGTTTTCTCATCCATGGTGACCAAAAGATGAAAAGTCCTCTACCCTGAAATCTCTGGAAAATCTTTCCTAAATTATGTGTATAATAAAGTAAAAGATACTTCAATGTTTAAAAAGTAATTTTATATATGAAGATATCTTAATGGTTGCATAACATAAAGCCTTAAAGGTTTAAAAGTATCTGTGAGATTGGAGTTATAAAGACTTTTAGAAAAAGCTTTGTATTTGACATGATACTATACAAAGAAATATACAAACAAGGTAGGTATCGAATATCAACATGTAATGACTTTGCAACAGTGGAGTATTTAAAAATAGAGAAGTAGTTTAGAAAACTCTAATACAGCAAATGCAGTTGTATAGAGAATTCAGAATAAAAAGATGTTCCTTAGCTCTCTGGGAAATTGAAATTTTCAATGGGTTAATGAAGGTAAGGTGGATAAATAGATGAGAGGACATTTTAAAGGATAAAGGAGAAGTAAAAAGACAAATTATGAACATGTTTATAAGTCTTTTTATATGTAGTTAACTCTAAAATTTGTAAAGGGCCAGTGGTGAAGAGTTCATGTAATAATCTTAGTATAGGGGAGAGAAAATATGGGTATCTCACACTATTCAGACTCCTAGTATTTTAATCCAGGGATCTGGATATGCAGATTGGAAGAGGATTCTCTTCCAATATACACTCTTGCCACTTGATATTCAAATACTAGGAACCAAATTGATTTGGATAATTTGTTACCTACACCTCACTTTCTGAGCTTAAGAACCTCATAATTTGAATAGCTGATACATTACTCTTTTGTTCAGCACTAAATCCATTAAACATATTTAAGAAATGGTATCTCCTTAGAATCAAGAGAAAAGAATGTGAATATAAGGGAAATAAATTGTGGATATAATTGGTATAGGGTTTGACAGGATTAGAATATGCTATACACCTGGCTTCCTTACTTTCCATGTGTTTCATCAGGTTTTGATTATTGAAATGTTTTAAAGATCATGGTTTAATTCGTACTTAAGAGTATCTAATGTCCATCTTCTTGAAATGAGTTTTACTTTAACATTTTATATTTCATTGACATTTCAATGTGATTTTAATATGATATTTTAAAATTTATTTTTAAGGGAGTAAGCCCTGAACCAATTCATCTTAAGATTTTTTCACCCAACGTTGTAAATCTGACACTTGTGGATTTGCCAGGAATGACCAAGGTAAAGAATAGTTGTTACTCATTGTGGATTTGGTCATATTTGTTTTCACTTGAACAAATGTGTTTTTTCCTTAATCCCATATGAGAATCAGCTTTTTGTATGTGTTCAGTCAACTTGATCTTTTAGCAGCATTTTACAAAGTTGAACCCTTCCTTCTTGAAATACTCTTTACTTGACTTCCAGGATACCACACTATACAGGTTTACTTCACTGGTCACTCCTTAAAGTCTCTTTTGCTGGTTTCTTATCTTCCCAATGTCTACACAGTGAGTGTCCCAGAGTTCTGTATTTGGACCTTTTGTCAAGAGGGTATACTTAGCCTCTTGATGCTTTCATCCAGTATTATGGCTTTAAATACATGAGTATCTGTACATTGATAGTATATTCAAGTATCTCTAGACTTGTATTTCTATCTCCAGAATTATATATCCAACTCTCTGTGTGACATAATACATTTTAAAGTCTAATAGGCATTTCCATCTAGATGTGCTTAATACCAAATTCCCGACTCGTTCCTCAATCTTACTTGATTCCTCTGTAATCTTCCCCATCTTAATAAATGGCAACTCTCTTCTAATGGTTGCTTGGCCAAAAAGTTTGTAGTCATTCTTGACTCCTATCCCACACTCTACTTCCAGTCAGCAAATCATCTGGCTCTTCTTACTTTTAAAATACATCCAGAACTCTCTGTTACATTCTGTGTTATCATGTGTTACAAATTCATAGCTACCATCCAGATCTAGCCACTGTCATCTCAGCTGGATTTCTGAGATAGCCTCCTAACAGGTCTTCCTCATAATCTGTTCTTAACTAAGCAGCCAGAGTGATACCACTACAGTGAAAGTTATATTGTGTGATTCATTGGCTTAAAATCTCTCTAGTGGCTTCCAATTTCACTCAGAGTAAAGCGTAAGTTTTTAAAGAGATCTAAAGTATCTATTTGATCTATTCCTATTTTCTCCTAACTCCTGCTCCAGTCTTTTGCTCTTTATTATTCACTCAGCTGGAATGGTCTTCCCCCAGATATCTCTCCCTTGTTCTTTAGTTTCTGATCTCTCTCTCAAATGTCATTAAGTGAGGTCTTCCTTGATTACTCTATTTAAAAGCACAATCCAGCCCTGGCCAGTTTGGCTCAGCGGTTAGAGCGTTGGCCTGTGGTCCAGAGAGACCTGGGTTCAGTTCCCACTAAGGGCATGTACCTCGGTTGCAGTTTGTCCCTGGCCCTGGTTGGGTCGTGCGGGTAGCAGCCACTCAGTGTGTCCCTTTCACATTGATGTTTCTCGCTCTCTCTCTCCCTCCCACTCTATCTGAACAACAACAACAAAAAAGCACAATCCAATTTAAAAGTATGACCTTTAATCATTCTGTAGCCTTCTGTTCTGCTTTTTTTTTTTTTTTCCATAGCCCTATCACTATCTAGATGCTATATTTGTTTTTATTATCTGCTTTTCACTACTAAAATATAAGCTCTATGAAGGTTGGAATTTTGGTCTTTCTTTTTTTTCACGACTTGACATAATTTGGCATGTTGAACAGTGTCTGAAATACAGTAGGCTGCCAATAAATACTTGCTAATTGAGTGAATGACTTTGTCTCTAGGTAATTAACATTGACCAGTTTTAACATGGTAAACTTGTATTTGCAAGAGTTACAATTTGCGGTTTTCACATACTAATAAGTTCATATATACCACTGTAGTATAATTTCTTTTTAACTGTCTGTAAATGGAGTAACTCCTATGATCTGTGGGTTAAATGGGGGGAAAAGCTGAGTCAATTTTTATTACTAGTTTCTTGCTCATCTTTGTTTGGTTCAGGTGCCTGTAGGTGATCAACCTAAAGATATTGAGCTTCAAATCAGAGAGCTCATTCTTCGGTTCATCAGTAATCCAAATTCCATTATCCTCGCTGTCACTGCTGCTAATACAGATATGGCAACATCAGAGGCACTTAAAATTTCAAGAGAGGTAGATCCAGATGGTAAGGACAGATATTAATATTTATTGAGATGTTTGGTTAACAGTGGTAAACCTATTTACTTTCAAGAAAGGACTTTTTATTTTTTTTGCATTTATCTTCAGATAGAGGGGGAGGAAGAGAGAGAGAGAGAGAGAGAGAGAGAGAGAGAGAGAGAGAGAGAGAAACATCGATGTGAGAGAGACCCATTGAGTGGCTGCCACCCACACGACCCCAACTGGGGCTGGGGACAAACTGCAACCGAGGTACATGCCCTTAGTGGGAACCAAACCCGGGACTCTCTGGACCACGGGCCGATGCTCTACCTGCTGAGCCAAACCGGCCAGGGCAGGACTTATTTTTAAAAGAAATAGCTCTAGTTGTTAATACAGATTTTAAAAAATAATACTTTCCTATTTTGCTTATAGTTTCAAATACAAATTCTGATGAAAAATAAAGTGTTTTTCTCCCCTCTTTATTGATTTTAGAGAGAGAGGAAGCGAGGAGAGATAGAAACACCGATAAGAGAGAACATTGGCCGCTTCCCGCATCCTCCCCACTGGGGATTTGGCCCACAGCCGGGGCATGTGTCCTGACTGGGAATCGAACCAGCAACCTCTTGGTGCATGGTTCGATGCTCAACCACTTAGCCACACTGGCTGAATAGAAAAATAAAGTTTTAATGGATCAACTGCTGTACAGGCTAGGCAAAAATACTTCACCAAAATGTCCATATTTTTAAATGGTTACCTAATGATTTAAAAATAATAAGATGGCTTTACAAAAGCAGCTGGATTTCTCATGTTTCATGTTTTGTGTAAATAAAATGACTTGAGTTTTTGATGGCTGACTTCTAAGAATAATTCATTCTCATGGTAGATAATCATTGTAAATTATATTTTAGTATATATTTATGATATCTACATTCTTCAGAGGTACAAAACATTTAGATGTGCTCAAGGAAGAAGGGAGTCTTAGAAATAAAGGTCAAGTCCTTTTATGAAGCATTCATAACCCCAAGGATTAGTTCATACTGTGGGTTGGTGTGTGATACTTGACTAATGCTGTAGTGTGCATTGGTTAGTATATATAAAATGCCAGCTTGCGAGAGAGTAGTTACTATTGCTTCTAATTAATACAGGGATGGGCAAAAGTAAGTTTACAGTTCGTATGGCAAAAGACAGGCAGGTTATGATTATTACCACGACTTTATTAACTCTAATGCTACAATGACATAGTAAACCTACTTTTGCCCACCCTGTATATGCTTTGCTCCATACAGGAGACAATTTTTTTTACTTGAGTATTTGGAGGGTCAGTGGGCTCTACCATGTTTCTTCTTTCCTGCTTTGAAGATGAATTTCAAATAAAAACTGGACAAGAAATGTTAGTGTTAAGACTGCTAATTGAAACTTCCATAAATAGGGTCATCAAAATTTTTTACTCAGGTTTTTAAGAAACTTTTTTACTATATGAGTAATTAATGTTCATTTAAATTAAAAGATAAACTATTAAGATTTGTCTTATTTTTATTTATAATAAACTGTTACATATTTTATATGCATTAATTCTAATTTAAACAGACCCTTGAGCCATAAACATGATCTTACTTTTGATCTAGTAATCTTAATACAGTAATATATTGTAAGGAAATAATATAATCTAGTATTTTTAGTATCAAAAAATTAGAATCAACTTAATATATGTATTAGAATTAAGTGAAAACCCATGTTCATATAAAAACCTGTTTTCAAATGTTTGTAGTAGCTTTATTTGTAAACTCCTAAAACTGGAAACAACTCAAATGTTTCTCAAATGAGAAGTGAAGAACCAAACCATAGTATAGTATATCCATATCATGGAACACTATTCATCAATAAAAGGGAATGAACAGTTGAGATATGCAATAACATTGATGACTCTCAAATGCATTATGCCAAGTGAAAGAAACCAGAGTCAAAAGGTCAGGTATATGATTCTATTTATAGGACATTCTAGAAAAGGCAAAGCTAGGATGAAAATGGATTGGATTGGGTAGTACAAGAAAAATTTTGGGGTGATAGAACCTGTTTATTTTGAGATGGCAGTGATAGAAGTATTTGCATTTGTCAAAACTCATAGAACTGTATACCAAGAATGATGAGTGAATTTCAAACAAGTTTTAAAATGTTTATTAAAAAGTTACCCCTGAGAACTAATAAAATTTTTTATGTAAATAAAAAAATATACATGATAATTAAAATTAGATTTAAAAGTATTCATAAGCAAAGATTAGAAAAGTATTATCAAAATGGTGACAAGAGGTAATGTTCAGTGGGATTATAGGTGATGATTTTCCTTTATTAATTCTTAAAAGCTGTATTTAATGGGTCATTTTCTTTTCTTTTTTGCACTTACCAGGTCGCAGAACTCTAGCTGTAATCACTAAACTTGATCTCATGGATGCGGGTACCGATGCTATGGATGTATTAATGGGAAGGGTTATACCAGTGAAACTTGGAATAATTGGAGTAGTTAACAGGTTAGCAATCAAGGATGGGATAAGAATTGCATCATTATCATTTCAAAGCAAATCTGAATTTTTAAAATCAGTCTGACAGTGACAGTGTCCCTCTTTTTTTACTCTTATACAATAATATTGGTATTGCAAAAGAATTCAGTGCTTTAAAGGGAGAAAAATTCATGAAAGCCTCCTGTAGACAAAGGTTTCAAAGTAAGCAGTGTCACAAAATGGAAGGAGATTTAATAGCTAGGCTTAAACATTCCAGCCTATTTATGTTATGTATGAAGAGGGCACTGGATAAGGTGGGGAAAGTATTATATAACTTGTACCCAATCTAGAAAGAGTTTGTTAAGGTGGTAGGATTTTAATATACTGGTTTAACCCCTAGCATTACTGATTCTTTGTAATTGCCAGGATGTGACTTTTATTAAATGTATCCTAATTATAAATAGCTGGTATTAAAAATTATGGAAAGGGTGTCTAATTATGTTTGTAGACACTCTACTGTGGTCAGTTTCCAAATGGTATCTCTCTGAACCTTAGAACATTCCTGAGGTAAGAGCTGATGTCTTTTATAATCAGAAAACTCAAGTTACATATTTATCAAAGCCACATGGCTGGTGAAAGCAGAGCCATATTCAAGTGAAGATCCCTCTTAGTCCAAAGCCTTTGTAAAATCACAAGCACCGTAACTATCATATCGTATACAGAGTAAGTATAACATGGGTGTAAATGATAACTAACACCTTTGGGTCTCAGACCTTTTAAAATTAAAATGTTTTCATTAAGTGATATCTAAGATCCATTACAGTTGTCTGCTTCTATTCATATGCCTCACCTCTACTCCAGCTTTCTGTTTCTCTTTTCAGGCAAGCAGGTGGTTATAACACTGTTGTATTTGTAGATGGCTGCTGTTCGAGTTAACTTAATTATTTTTGGTAGAAATTAGCTGCCTGTCTATGGAGAAAATATACAGTGAACTAAGACACACATTTTTTTGCCCACCTATCTCCTTTACTGAAGAGTACTGCCTTTGACTGTAGTTAATGGTAATGAGGAGGCCTAAACTATTTAGGATTTACTTATTTATAAGTCAGTAAGTTTGAATATGTGACCTTTGGTAAATCGGTTAATCTCCCTGAGCTTCAGTTCCTTTGCTGTAAAATGGGATAATGCCTACCACATAGAATTATTGTAAAAATTAAAACAATTCATGTCAGGCATTACGAACAATGCCTGGTGCTGCTGTATCATCACCATCATCATCCAAGGTACATACAGGACCCCAGTTGACTTCAACTGAACAGTTTTTTTATTTCTCAACCTTAGGAGCCAGCTAGATATTAACAATAAGAAGAGTGTAATTGATTCAATCCGTGATGAATATGCTTTCCTTCAAAAGAAATACCCATCTCTGGCTAACAGAAATGGAACAAAGTATCTTGCTAGGACTCTAAACAGGTAATGTTTTATAGCTTTTGGAAAATGAGATGTTTTTTGTTTGCCAATAGGTGTCTGAGACCTTTCATTTTCAGTTCCTTGTATTTTCATAATGTTCTTGCATGTACAACTTCAGTTTTTGTTTCTTGTACAGTAGTAGGTTCTTATAATGTAGATGTCTATTTTTATTGGGGTGGTTGATGTTAAATCATTGTGTAGTCTGGGAATGCTAAAGTGAATTTTAAAATGGATTATGAAATTCTTTTTTTATATGTTTTTTTCTTTTTAATGATTTTAAAGAGAGAGGAAAGGAGGGGGGGAGAAAGAGAGAGAGAGATGAATTTATTGGTTGCCTCCTGTATGTGCCCTGATTGAGGAGCGAACCTGTGACCTTTGGTGTATGTGACGGTACTCCAGCTGAGCCACACCAGCCAGGGCTCCATTGTTTGCATTTATAAAATTTGACCTGTTTGGGTCTTCAAAATAGACAATTTTATTTTAACATCCTTCTTTTTTATTAACCCTTTGTTAGGTTACTGATGCATCACATCAGAGATTGCTTACCAGAGTTGAAGACGAGAATAAATGTTCTAGCTGCTCAATATCAGTCTCTTCTAAATAGCTATGGTGAACCTGTGGATGATAAAAGTGCTACTTTACTCCAGCTTATCACCAAATTTGCCACAGAATATTGTAACACTATTGAAGGAACTGCAAAATATATTGAAACTTCAGAGCTGTAAGTAAGAAATTTCTCTATCATTTTGGCTACTGGACTGATAGGTTGGTTACTTTATCTTCTGTTACAGTGACAAAAGATACTATGTGATTATCTGACTGTGATTTATTACCTGTAAAACAGGAGTATCATTTTATAGACATGATATGTTATCTGATGTGTGTTTAAATTCTTTATAAACTGTCTAAAGCACAGTAAAAATTAGAAGACTATTTGATAAACACAAGAATATTGCATAATTTAACTTTTAAAATGCTTGCTTCTTTAATATACACTGTATGACTATGAGAAATAAGAAAATATAGATAAGAAAAGAGAATATAAAGCATAAGGACAAAATTGCTGTTAATTTCATTATCCAGAAATAATCCCTGCTAAATTTGGCATTAACCTAGACTTTTTTCTATGCATCTATAAAACAAGAATATGCCTGTTATTATACATTTTTAAAAATCAGATGGTATAAATGCTATTTTGTAATCATTTCTTTAAATCAAAATGTCACAAACAATATTATACATTTGTATGATCAATCTTAAGATTTACATAGTATTTTATTTTTAAGATATACTATCATTTGTTGAATGAGTCTCATGCTAATGATGGTATATACAGGGAGGTCCTGTTCACCCTATCTTCCCCAATGTTGCCATCTTGCATAACTGTAGTACATAACAAAATGAGAAACTATGTTTTGGTACAAGCCATAGATCTTATTCAAATTCACCAATTATACATGTATTCGTGTGTGTGTGTAGTTCTGTGTATTTTTGTGTGACCCCAGTGGCCTTTTTTGTTATTTGACTCCATTAAGAGAATATTTAACAAACTAATTATTGAATAGTTATATGTATGGCATATTGAGGAAAATAAAAATTACTAAAATGAGCCTTTTAAAGAGTTTAGTGAGTAAGGTAGGTTAAGGTAACATGAGGCTTGATTAGGTGGCAAATAGGACTAATCAAGTATTTTTATTTATGTACTTATTACATATAATACATAGCTGGAAAAGTGCATATAACATACATGGAGTTTTATAAGTAGTTAATAAAGCAAGTACCTGTGTAATCACCTAATCAAGCCTTTGGAACATTGGAACACTGAAGAGAGACCATTTACATCTCTTTCAGGGATTGAGAGAGCTCCCTCACTAAGAATGATTTGTGTTGGGCACTGAATAGAATTTGGGAAGGTAGTAAGTAGAAGGGTGTTTTAGGCTTTGGAACAGCAAAGAATAATCCAGGATGTGTTTGGAAAATGGCATGTACAGCGATGGGACATAACAGGAGGTAACGCATGAAAGGTGTCTAAAAACAATATTGTGAAAAGTTGAGTATCTTCAGAATTTAGAGAACTTCTTATTATAAGAAATGAAACACTTTTGGTCAGATGGGTTAACTGTTTTGGAAGGATAATTCTGGTCATTATGAAAATTATTTGGAGAGAAAGTTGGAGTCAGAAAGACCAATTACTGATTATTTTAACCATTTTTAAGCATATAATTCAGTGGCATTAACATTCACAATATTGTACAACCATCAATAATATGTTTCCAAAATTTTTTCATTGCCCCAACAGAAACTGTATCCATTTAAATAATATCTCTTTAGTTTCCCCTCTCCCCCAGCCCCTGGTAACCTCTAATTTACTTTGTCTCTATGAATATGTCTATTCTAGATCTTTTCTATGATGGGAATCATATAATATTTGTCCTTTTGTGTCTGGGCTTATTTCACTTAGCAAAATGTTAGGCTTGAACCTTTTGCTTAGACTGCTGTAAAGAAGTTGTGAATAGTGATGGTGAAAATAGGGATGATTTGGGGAGAAAAAGATAACACTAGGGATAAAGAAACACAAGTTGCCTCGTACGTAAGCCCAGAGATTTAATTTGTTTAAAGCAGGATTAGGCTAACTAGAGTCCATTGGTTAAGAATTTTTGCATTTTTAAATGGTTGAAAAAAATTTTAAATCAGAAAAACTCAAATTTTAGTATGCATATGTCTTATTAGAACACAGCTGTGCTTATTTGTTTACATATTATCTATGATTGCTTTTGTGATCAATAGCAGAATTGAATAGTTGTGACAGAGATAATTATGGCTTGAAAAGCCTAAAATATTTACTATCTGGCCCTTTATAGAGTTCCTTAAGGAACTCATAGTCTAGTTGAAGAAAACTAGGTCAGAGAAAAGATGTTTAGTACTTCTTAGAACTGACGTTTCTTGATAGAACAGTTACTCTGTGTGTGTGAGTGTGTGAATGCCTTTCATGAAATTACTCCTTTTCCCTGTTTAAAAAAAAATCATAGAAACTGGTTCACAGTAGTGTTGAGGACACATGAAAATGGGAATAGTCTAATTTTTTTATCTGAGATTTTCTCAGAAGATGAGTGACACGTAAAGCTTATTAGAAAGACTTCTAACTTGTAGCTTTCCTTTTTAGTAATACTAGAAACCATATAGTTCATTGTCATTGCCTTTCAGATGCGGTGGTGCTAGAATCTGTTACATTTTCCATGAGACTTTTGGGAGAACCTTAGAATCTGTTGACCCACTAGGTGGCCTTAACACTATTGACATATTGACTGCCATTAGAAATGCTACTGTGAGTATGTTTAATTCAGAATTTTTTGAAATGAGGTTAAACCTTCATTTATTTTTTACCCATATTGTACAGCTTCTTTGTTCTTATGCATGAAATTAGGAAGCACTTCTCGTGAAAAATATCAAAATGTGATTTATTTTAACCTTTGGGAAAAACTAAATGATATATAGCTACAAGAGCTTGAAATTGAATTCTTTTAGGGTCCTCGTCCAGCTTTGTTTGTGCCTGAAGTTTCATTTGAGTTACTGGTCAAGCGGCAGATCAAACGTCTGGAAGAGCCCAGCCTCCGTTGTGTGGAACTGGTTCATGAGGAAATGCAGAGGATCATTCAGCACTGTAGCAATTACAGTACACAGGTAACTGAGAAATGTAACAGGTTCCAGATTATGTAGTAAAAGACATGAGGTGTCCAGGGGGTGGAAGGTGTAAGTTAAAATGTGCAGTTCTTTGCCTAACTGGCATGGCTCAGTGGTTGAGCATTGACCCATGTACCCAGAGGTTGCCAGTTCGAGTCCCAGTTAGGGCACATGCCCAGGTTGTGGGCTCAATCCCCAGTGGGGAGCATGCAGGAGGAGGCCAATCAATGTTCTCTTCGGTCAATGTTTCTTTCTCTCTCCCTCACTCTCTAAAATCAATAAAGAAAACAATTACTTAAAAAAAAAAAAAAGTGCTTTGAAATAGTATATGTAATGTAGCTTCCAGTCCTGGTCAGTTGGGCTTAGTGGTTAGAGCGTTAGCCTGCAGACTGAAGGGTTGTGGATTTGATTCCTGGTCAAGGGCATGTACCTGGGTTGCAGGTTTGATCTCCGGCCCTGGTGGTCATTTGGGAGGCAACCAATAAAGGTGTCCCTCTCACATCGATGTTTCTCCCTCCCTCCCTCCCTAAAACTCAATGGAAAAAAATATCCTCAGGTGAGGGTTAACAAAAAAATAAAAATAAATGTTGTTTCCAAATCTAAATCAGTATTTCAGTGATTATTTAATTTCCTTGGAAATAAAGTGGACTTACATTTTTCTTTCTTCTATCATATATAGGAGCTGTTGCGGTTTCCTAAACTTCATGATGCCATAGTTGAAGTAGTAACTTGCCTTCTTCGTAAACGGTTGCCAGTGACCAATGAAATGGTGAGCTGTTATTTCACAAATATCACTGTAGTCACTATCATTAAAAATGTTTTTGTACAGCATTAGGATTGCTTTAGATTAGGCATGTTTCTCAGTGTATTGGGAAGGGAAAAGAAAGTGGATTTCAGTTTTATTTAAAAGGAAACTAATAATTCTGATACAAAGTGTATTTTTCTTCATATTTTAATTGTTAGTCTGCAGCCACAGGTTTTCATGAGAAGGGAATTATTGAGGTTTGTGAATAGCTTTGCTCTGTTACGTTGGATCACTGATCTAAGGGAAAGTCAGTTTCATCTTTAGCCCCAGTAAAAGGAGCCTTTATAGCAAGCTCTTATTTTAACTCTGATGTATATCAGGATAATTTCGCCACTTCTACAGTTTGCTTGTTTGATGACCTAATACCCTAATATCATGGTTGCTTGCCCTTATTTTGTGTGTTGCTGTTCTTTAAAATGAGAATGCTGGCCCTGGCTATTGTGTTTAGTGGTTAGAGCATCAACCTGTACACTGAAGAGTCGTGGGTTCAAGTCCCAGTCAAGGGCATGTGCCTGGGTTGCTGGTTCGATTCCCGCTCAAGGCACATGCCCAGGTTGTGGGCCCAGTCCCCAGTATGGGGCATGTAGGAGACAGCCCACTGGGTCAAATGGCAGTTCCATTTTTAACTTTTTTTTTTCTTTTATCCTCACCCGAGGACACTTTTCCATTTTTGGTTCAGATAGAGCGGGAGGGAGAGAGAGGAAGAGAGAGAGAGAGAGAGAGAGAGAAACATTGATGTGAAGGGACACATCGAGTGGCTGCCACCCGCACGACCAACCAGGGCCGGGGACAAACTGCAACCGAGGCACGTGCCCTTAGCGGGAACCGAACCCGGGTATCTCTGTACCGCAGGCCGACACTCCAACCGCTGAGCCAAACCGGCCAGGGCCATTTTTAACTTTTTGAGGTAACACCATAGTGTTTTCCATAGTGGCTGCACGAGTCTGCATTCTTACCAGCAGTGTACTAGAGTCCCCTTTTCTCCACATCATCGCCAACACTTGTTTGATGATTTGTTGATGGCGGCCATTCTGGGAGGTGTGAGGTGATACCTCATTGTTGTTTTAATTTGCATTTCTCTGATGATTAGTGATGTTGAGCATTTCTTCATATGTCTCTTGGCCATTTGTATGTCCTTTTTGGAGAGGTGTCTATTTAGGTCCTCTGCTCTTTTTTTTAATTGGGTTCTTTGTCTTCCTTTTGTTGAATTGTATGAGCACTCTATATATTTTGGAAATTAACCCCTTATCTGATGCATCATTGGCGATTATGGTCTCCCATATAGTGGGGTCCCTTTCCGTTTTAATGGTTGTTTCTTTTGCTGTGCAGAAGCTTTTTAGTTTGATGTAGTCCCATGTGTTCATTTTCTCCTGTTTCTGTTGCCTTAGGAGTGTATCAGTGAAAATTCTGCTGCATATGATGTCTGAGATTTGTTGCCTACATTTTCTTCTAGAATTTTTATGGATTCATGAGTCACATTTAAGTCTTTTATCCATTTTGAATTTATTCTCGTGTATGGTGTAAGTTGGTGTTCTAGCTTCATTTTTTTGCAGGTAGCTGTCCAATTTCCCCAACACCATTTATTGAAGACACTGTCTTGACTCCACTGTATGCTCTTGCCACCTTTGTCGAATATTAATTGAGCATATTGTCTTGGGTCAATTTCTGGGTTCTCTGTTCTGTTCCACTGATATATGTGCCTGTTTTTGTGCCAGTACCAGGCTGTTTTGATTACTGTGGCTTTGTAATATAACCTGAAATCTGGTAATGTGATCCCTCCTACTTTGTTCTTTTTCAAGATTGCTGTGGATATTCGGGGTTATTTTTGGTTCCATATAAACTTTTGGAGTGTTTGTTCTAGTTCTGTGAAATATGTCGTTGATATTTTGATGGGGATTGCATTGAATCTGTAGATTGCTTTGGGTAGTATGGACATTTTAATGATGTTAATTCTTCCAATCCATGAACAAGGTATGTGCTTCCACTTTTTTATGTCTTCCTCTATTTCTTTTTTTCAATGACCTGTAGTTTTCTGTGAAGAGGTCCTTTACTTCTTTGGTTAAGTTTATTCCTAGGTATCTTGATTCTTTTGCCGCCATGGTAAATGGGATGTTTTCTTAGTTTCTCTTTCTGTGACTTCATCATTGCTGTATAAGAATGCCATTGATTTCTTGACATTAATTGTACTTTGCCAAATTTGTTTATTAAGTCTAGTAGATGTCTGATGGAATCTTTAGGGTTATCTACGTATAATATCATGTCATCTGCAAATAATGACAGTTTCACTTTCTTCTTTCCAATTTGGATCCCTTTTATTTTTTCTTCATGTCTGATTGCTGTGGCTAAGACTTCCAGTACTATGTTAAATTAAATAAGAGTGGCGAAAGTGGGCATCCCTGTCTTGTTCTTGTTCTTAAGGGGAATGCTTTTAGTTTTTGCCCATTGAGTATGATGTTACCTGTAGGTTTTTCATATATGGCCTTTATTATGTTGAGATATGATCCCTCTATTCCCACATTGCTGAACATTTACAAAATACTTCTAACTACCTTAATCATTTTCCCCCCTTAGAAATGCAATCTCAGATGCTGAAATAGAAATAATTCAAAAGATAGAGCAAATTATTTTTTGGTATAAGATTTATTAGTTTGGGTAAAATTATCAGATATTTATTTAGGCATCAGTTTCCTATATTGTCTTTTTAGAATCATCTGTTTAAAATTAGGTTGTCATATTTTTATATATAGTCTAATGTTATTGTTTTTTTTTCTAGGTCCATAATTTAGTGGCAATTGAATTGGCTTATATCAACACAAAACATCCAGACTTTGCTGATGCTTGTGGGCTAATGAACAATAACATAGAGGTAAATACAATTAGAATTCTTTTTGAGAGGAAAAAAACTCTTGTAACTCAGTTATATCAAATACATTTAGCATGGGGTAACTATAAAACATATGTGTACTATATGCTAAGAAGTATGCCAAGGGCATTGTATTCTTAAATTTAATTCTCAAAACCACCTGGAGGCATTACTCTCATTTTTTCCTTATGAAACTGTAACTCAGATAATCTGAGATTCATTGATTTAGTATTGAAAGACTGCCTGGCTCCATTTCTGTAACTGTTATTGTAGTTTATTCGGGTTGAAGTGCATAAAACAAAGTCATTGTCTAAAATTGTTTTCATTTGGCTCTGACAACTGTGAAGGGAACATTTCAAGAATTACCTACTACCTACCTACCTGGGGTAACTGCATTTCATGGATTTTTTTTCCATCTGAGGTTAATGTCGCAAGTTGTAAAAGATCCCAGATGGAGCCAAGGCTGGTGGATAGAGCAACTGATATGATGCTGTTTTTTTCTCTGCCACTTTTATTCAAGAACAGTACATTTTCTGCCACTCCTTAATATAGGACCTCAGAGTCCCCTTCTGTATTAAATTTCTTATGCATATGGATGGAAAGAATATTATAAACATGGAATTTGGGAACTGGAGGGACCCTGGGTTATGACTTCAACCCTTTGGTTAAACTAACAGATGTGGAACCTGAGACCCACAGATGGTAACAGCTGTTGCTTTAGTGCTTATTTTGCTGGGCACTGTTGGAGGAGACAAGCACCTTCTCTTACAGGTACAGGGAATTGTTTATTAGCTACAATAGCTGAAGCGACTCCTACTGTCAGGAAAATTCTAAAATGCACATGAGGCACTTAAGTTAAACACTTGGAAAGTAGACTAGATAGCAGTTATGTTAAAGTTAGCATGTAGACTCTGTCTTAGGACAAGAATTTACTTGTAACACTGAAACCACCAACTTCATGGAAAATTTGTGTCTGGAAGTTTTTGTAATTACAGTAAGGTCATTTATGATGACTTCATTCAAATCAATATTTTTCTACAAATGAGTATATATCTCTGGTTTTAATGAATGCACCAAAGAACTTTAAGTGACTATTCTCATTTCATCTTTACAATAACCCTACAAGAGTAGATGGTTGGTACCTGTGCAGTTAACAAAGCAAGGAAGCCAGGACTGTTGGGCTCTAGGGCCAGCTAAGGTCGTAACTACTTGGTAACAGACTAGGGTGAGAATTTCTGGTCCTTGGATTCCCCTGCCTTTTGCTTTGTGTCCCTCTTCAAAATGTACATTTTAACTTTTTATTTTGAAGATAGTTAAAATCCTTATCATCTGCTATATTTTTATCACTTAATTGCCTCCCATGAAAAAAATGAAGAGGGTCATATTTGTCAGAAAATTTTACTAACCACAAAATATCACTGTGAAGCTTCATTAACTTACAACTTTTGCAAGTTCGAGAATATTCATGTAATGCTCTCTACTTAGTAACAATTTTAACTTAAATGCTTTCCTACTATATTAGATGCTGCCAAGAAAGTCATTAATACCGACATCCCTGTATATTTTCATGGTCTTGCACCTGTCATGGTACTGGACATATAGTAGGTGTTTGTTCATTACCTGTTGATTTGAATGTAACAGAGTTTCTTTCATAATATTAGAAGAGTGGACAGTTGTTGATAAGTCTCTGTTAAATTAGCCAGATTACAGAAAGGACTATCAGTTTTCAACACTATATTTATATCCTAGAAATGGTTTAGAGTAAAGAAAATGGACCAGTCTTACAGGATAACCTTTACCACAGATACTTCTCAAACTTACGGTTTTGTGTGTGGGAGTTGTGCGAATATAACACAAAGGTTGTATTTCATGATATTTCAGTCTATGGCCCCTCATTTAAAATCCCTGGTACAGTGGAGCCACTGTTACTGACAGTTGTATTGGATCCCTCAGGTTTGTTGGGGCAGGAAAAAAAGATTGAGAAGCATTGGGTTAAATGATTTGTTTGTTTTAAAATGTAATTATGGCATGAGTTCCAACAGTGAGAGGGTATACTGTAAGTTATTCCACACTTTTCAGTTAAGCTGAACATTTTCTAGTAGTCTTATATCTCAATGTTCTGATAACACTTTTGTTTTGCTTGGTTGTGTTTTATAGGAACAAAGGAGAAACCGGCTAGCAAGAGAATTACCTTCAGCTGTATCACGAGACAAGGTAAAAAACAAACAGTTTTTGAAGCATAGTCCCATTAAGCAAAGATGGATTGGTAATGTTACTTACACCTAGGAGTAATTTTTTTCTTCTCCCTTTAATATTCTGTTGGAGGTATTTAATTCTTTGAGTAAAAGTATGCAAGTTTAAAATCAGGCTTTGAATAATTTAAAGATAATGGCATTTTTACAGAGAGCAGGCTAATGATTGATAGAGGGGAGGGGTGTTGGGGAGCTGGGCTGAAGAAGGTGGAGAGATTGAGAAGAACAGATTGGTAGTCACAAAATAGTCATGGGAATGTAAAGTGCTGCATAGGAAATACAGTCAGTAATATTGTAAAAACTATGTATGGTGTCAGGTGGGTACTGGAAATATCAGGGGGAACACTTTGTAAAATATATAACTGTCCAACCACTACACTGTATACATGAAACTTATATAAGGTAATACTGATGTAAGTTGTAACTGAAAAATAAAAATTCACAGTGACTTCATCAACTTTATAAAATTAGTTGGAATGACTAATGACTTGATTATAACAAGAAGTCTTTTTGGAGAGGGAGACGACAGTATAGACATAACAGGTTAATACCTATAATAGTTGCATGTATTGTTTATGTGTATAAAAATCCAGTATCTTGTATTCTTTACCAGAAAAGATCTTACCAAATTCCAAAAATAAAAATGAAGTTTTTAAAAACCCTTTAACAAAGGTGACATTAGTACAGGAAATAGGCAGAATAACATTAATTTTATGTCCCATGATTACTTTTGTTTTTCATCTTACTTTACTATTTTGATACAGAGGGAGAAATTCACACTTATAGAATGTTTCTGAATGCATTTTGGCATCCTTGATTTTTTTTCCCTGCATTTTTTGCCTTTAGTCTTCTAAAGTTCCAAGTGCTTTGGCACCTGCCTCCCAGGAACCCTCCCCTGCTGCTTCTGCTGAGGCTGATGGCAAGGTCTGTTCCGATTCTTAGTCTAAGCCTGCATGCCTAGTTGTTCAGTGCAATATAATCATCTGGAAACAGTACACTGAAAAACAATGTTAATATGGGCTATATATAACAATGTATACTTATAAAATACTTCTTGACATGCTTTTGCTTGCAATATAGAAGATGAACACAGAAAAAGAAGTTAAAGAGGAAATTATTCTGCACTTTTTGACTTTCAAGCCATTGATATTGAAATTTTGCTTGTTAAACTGCATGTTTTAACATATCTTTTAACAGTTAATTCAGGACAGCAGAAGAGAAACTAAAAATGTGAGTCTCTTGCTTTAGAATGGCAATGTTGGTACCTTTGTTTCTCACTGAAACACTGTGTTTCAAAATCATTGAAGAACCTGTCTGTACAGTGGCATCTAACTCCTTGTCTGTGTTATGTCTTTAATGTTGCTCTTACCTAAGTAACCCCTTTAAGATGGTATTAATTCTAGTTTTAACTAATAACAATGATAGGATTTCCCACTGTTTTCTATTACCTTCGAGCATAGTTTAGAATTTAATATTTTGGTTGGGAATTAAGATTCCAGAGATGGAATTTGTACTTTTGGACATGTCTTCTTTAAATGTTCTGAGATCTGTCCAGTACTAGTAGATAAACCCTCTCATGCTTCTTTCTTATGCTTCCGTTCAGTTTGTCACCCTATATATATGTAGGTAGTTTAACACGAGCCTCAGTAGCTTAAGCACATTGATACAAATGGGGGGCTGTGAGAGTTTGAGACTATTGATTCTTGATAACCTTTTTATGGGAAAATTAATAATCTGTAAATTTTTCAGACCCATTCTTCTGTTTTTTCTGCCATTTAGCTCCTTTCTTTATTGTCCAGATTTAAGGTCTGAACCTCAAATAAAACCTGATAAATGTCTTCTCTTCTCTCAGCCGTCTGTGCTCAAACCTTAAGAGAACCATCTAAATCATTACTGAAGTGTTATTTCACTCATGGCACCACCCTGCATTTGCTTGCTTAAGATTTTAGTTGTTGTGCCATTCATGTATAGTTAACATTTGAAAATTAATATGTAATATACTGCCTATATTTAGATAAAGCTCATCTAACTTAGAGATAAACTTAGGCCAGAATGATACCCAAAACTGACATTTTTAAACAACTACCATAACAACAACTACCATAACGCTCTTTTTTTTTTTTTACCTTTATGTAAGCCATTTTTATTTCTACTTATAAATTTTGGATGTCATCTTATATCCAGTTTAGAGTATGAGATCTTAAAGAGCATCTGGTCTCTTAAATGTTGATGAATTATGTTTTTCTCATTATCCTAGTCATGAGTGTAGACATTGAGGGAACTTGTACTTATGTCACATTTCAGGCAGCTTAAAGTTACTATCAGCCTAAGAATTATGGGTATATTCTTATTTCTTTTATTAAAAAGGTTCTTTTATCTTAGGATATTTTGTTGACTAAATGTAAAGTAACTTGAGCAATACATAAACAAGTTTTGGAGAAATCACAGTTCAACAGTGTTTAAGGTTACTTGGAAAAAATAAGCTGAGTGGTAGTTCTGGTTTTCCTTGTGCTTTTAATGAGCAGTCTTGTTTTTTAAGGGCATCTTATACTTTTTCTACAGTCCTGGTAAAAGAGGGCTTGGAAAAGTTAGGAAATGCCAAAGGAAATAAATAATATTGGTGGATGATTGCAAACATTGTTATAGCAGAAACTCTTCATTTAGATAGTTCAAGCTTCCAGTTATACATGCACCCCATCTCTTTCTGACTCCAGCTGGGTACTGGATGTGTGTCAGAGAAAATGAACTTTGTTTATGGTCAGATTTGAAATGGTTGGTAGAGATTTTGGAACATCTGTTCTTTTTTTTTTTTCCAGGTTGTATCTGGAGCTGGTGGGGTTGGAGATGCTGTTCAAGAACCAACAACAGGCAACTGGAGAGGAATGCTGAAAACTTCAAAAGCTGAAGAGTTATTAGCTGAGGAAAAATCAAAACCAATTCCAATTATGCCAGCCAGTCCACAAAAAGGCCACGCTGTGAATCTGCTGGATGTGGTAATAAGCCATGAGAATTTGGTTGAGGACTAATAAGATAACCAATTACTAGTGTAGGAAAACACTACAAAAGACAAAGGGAACTAAAAGTCTCAGAAACTCCCTGAATGCTAAATATTGCCATTTCAAAATGGCATAAAAGTAATATTTTTTCTTCCCCTCATCCCATTTAGCCAGTTCCTGTTGCACGCAAACTATCTGCCCGCGAGCAGCGAGATTGTGAGGTTATTGAACGACTCATCAAATCATATTTTCTTATTGTCAGGAAGAATATTCAAGACAGGTTAGTACATAATGAAATCAGACTGCAATACTGCAATTAATTCCACAATCTGTTTTGAAAATAGATGTATTTTTTTATTTTTAGGTTTTTATTCTAAATCAAATGGATCATCTTATTGTTTATTTTGCAGTGTGCCAAAGGCAGTGATGCATTTTTTGGTTAATCATGTGAAAGATACTCTTCAGAGTGAGTTAGTAGGACAGCTGTATAAATCATCCTTACTGGATGATCTCCTGACTGAATCTGAGGACATGGCACAGCGTAGAAAAGAAGCAGCTGATATGCTAAAGGTATTGTGATTTTTTAAAAAAATTTTCACACTTGGGTTGTAGATATAAACATCTGTTGTTTAAAATGCATTATGAACCTTGGGTCCAGAGGGATTGCCCCACAAAATTCAGGTCTTTAATATCATAAATATGAATTTAATTTTTATCTTCTTTAATACAGGCATTACAAGGAGCAGGTCAAATTATTGCTGAAATCCGAGAGACTCACCTTTGGTGAAGAGAAATGCATAATACTGAGACTTTGTTGACTCGAAAGTTGCTAGTTACTGCCTACTTATTTATGAACTCCTGTGTATTACAGTGGTATGAATCTGCTTATATGAAGACTGGCTATACACTGAGAATTGTACTCTATTACAGAATGAAATCGCACATTTAATCCAAATAAAAGGCTGTTTCTGAAGTTTCCCAGTATATATAAAATACATCAAGTCTGTCATGTGACAGTTTCATTTGAACTTAAAAGAAATGTTAATGTTCTCTTGTACAAGCAGCTTGTCTGTGGATACGATGACCTGTGTAATCTGCTGCCATGGTCCTTCAAGAAGAACGCACCAAGACACTTCATACGACTGTACTGCATGCACTATATAAACTGGTCTGGCTTTGAAAGATGTGGGTTGACAAGTTACTCACATAGTCACTGTATTCCACCTGTCCTTTGATTTCGCTTTATCTCTGCAACCTTTGATGTGTGAGTAAGAAAGCTGGCTGTATGAGAGGATCTAGAACAAGGATACAGTGTGTGTAACTGTGCAGAATGTATAACTGCACAGCCCTTCCACTTCTGGGTCCATACTGCCCTCGTGCATTAATCTTTGATTCGTATTAAACCTAGAAGCATGAATTACATTCTCCTGTATTAAAAACAACCATCTAGACTTGACCAGCTCCTTTTGGTTTTTAGAAGTTCTAAAAAATACTCCCCTTGGTTTTCAAATATGATAGTAATTCAGGTACATCTTTAAATTAGGGCACACCATGCTCCAAGATTCATTGGAGTTGGGACTTAAAACTAAATATTACTTGGCAATAGTTACTTTTGCTTCACACCAGCAAAATATATTAGAACAAGGTATGAAAATACTGGTGGAGCCTTATTTAAAGAAAACACCCCTAATGGCTTATAGACAACTAAATTAATTCAGAGGCTTGGAGGTGAGGTTTAGAACATAACATACATTTTGTTAAAATTCCTCAGGTGACTCTTGATATGAATTACATTATAAATTTTAAGATAATGGTCAAAATCTTTAAGGCATCTAGCTCCACTGCTTAACAACATGTTAAAAATAAATTTTATTATCTGCAATATAGAATTTACTTAAGTTACAACATTTATGAAGGATATTGGCAATATGAATATATCTGTTAACTTCAGCTTATGGTACCCATTTACTAAGAAATAACAGGCTCACCAACTTATCTCACACAACAAAAAACACCCAGATTCAGTCTGACATGATATGGTACTTTGAATTGGTTAGTAGTGCCATCTTGATAAAATACATGGTATCAAAATGTCTGTTAATGCACTTTAAAATCACTCCGCCATCATTAAACATCAGCTTTGAAATTCTAGCCATCCTTGATTTACTTATTTCAGATGATTACCATTTTAGCCTTTTGAATTTGTAAGGGGGAAAAACCCCTTCTAAAGCGCCTTTCTCCAGCATTTCAAACATTTCCAATTTAAAATGTTCCCTTTAAAGACATGCTATGGTAATGCACTTTCTAGTACTACACACCTTGTACAAAGAAAAACAGGCAAGAAAGGCATGGAAAGAGAAAACCTTTGTTGGCCCTTAAACTGAGTGAAGTTCTGAAATGTAGAGATGATCTGTGACATTTATAATGGATATCTGTATGTTCTTGCTGTGTAAATAAAATTGCTGGTCTGAAATGACATTAAAGTTTATCAGTAAATGAATTCTTCCTAACTTGACTCTCAGAAAAAGGTTTAAATTCTAGCTTTTTAACATATAAATCTAATACAGTTTATAGTGTATAAAAGTTTTATGACTTTCTTAATAGATTCTAACACTGAAGTATTCTAATATCTCCATTTCTGTATATGAAGACAGTGACTTGCTCCAAGTAATCCAGGTAGAAAATAGCTAGAACTTGAACATTAAAACCACACTTTACTGCCTGTAAGGTTTTCTAGAAGAAATTTGGTTGTGAACCATTCTGTGTGTTTGTGCCTTTCACTTGACGCTCAGGGAAATGGGGTGCTATTACCTTGATCTGTCATATGTGGAAACAGTTCTGGAGATTTAATTTGCCTAATGTATACAGAGTATAACTAAGTCTTGATACCAAGTCCTTTACATTTTACCTGAAAACTTCCCTTACCTGAGTGTCTTTTTGATATTCTCATATGATTGGTTAGTTGGTATAACAACATTTGCCTGTTTTACTTCTTTGGTTACTGTACTTAAGTTTTCAGTTTATCTCAAGTTGCAATCTGGTTGGAAACAGAAGTTGAAACTTAAAACTAATTTAAAAGTTTTCAAATTTATAAACTATTGCTGCCTGAGTACTCTGAGAAAACAAAGCTGTGAGTGAATTTAGTTACACTGAACCACAGGTAAGGGAGTGGAACACAATTAGAAACGTTCTGAAAAGTCAAGAACTGATTTTTAATCTTTTCTTTAAAAATAAACTATTTCTATTGTCATTCCTAATGCCAATTATGGCTGTTTAATTTTTCTCCTTTTTAAGACCTGTACTTGTTCCTACACAACAAAAATCAGTTTCCAATACTAGATTTTGCATTTCCAATGTGGATGTGAGAGGCACTGGTTTTAGAACAACAGACACTTGTGAGATATATACTAGATATAAAAGTATCCACAACTCTTTATGCCACCTCTTTTCCATGTTCCTCCTCATGTCCAAAAAGGAGAGCAAAATAGGACTGGAAAGACAGCATTTAATTTTTTCATAAAGTATAACTTTAAAAATAGATTAACCCTGGAAAGCAGGGTTTTCTATGGTAGTCAATGTTTAAGGATCAGGAAATAAAAATACCCCATCACTGCACAAACACCTTATTAGCCAGCCTATACAAACAATGAAATTACTCACACTGTGAGGCCTAGAGTATACTCCATTCTTTGCTGATGTGTGCACGTGAAGGTGTAAATTTTGGAGCCAACCTTTCGAATGTCTTCAGAATGAAGGATGGTAAGTTTGAATCACCAGAAGAATTTTTCATCATAGCTGAAGCCATTTTATAATGTAGAAATTCCTTTTTCCTATTTTAAGTAGTGAAAGTCCATTCTTAAGAATATGTTGTCCAAAAACCAAAACACTCTCGGGATTTGTTACTTGTCTGTGATTTATACTGACTCCACCTTCTGTTATCATCCGATACCTAAAAATAGAAATACTTAGTAACTAGATAAATCCATTCACTGTTTATCTTTCCCCACAATACACATACATCATCACTATACATCATTTAAATTTCAGAGGCTCTCCAGTTGAAGTCTTTTAGCTCTGAATTTATCTTCACATTTACTAGATTCTGCCTCCCTTTAATGCTCTTTTTTTTAATCCTCACCAGAGGATATTTTTACATTTATCTTCAGACAGAGTGGGAGGGAGAGAAAGAAACATCAATGTGAGAGAGAGATGCATTGACTCGTTGCCTCCCACACGACCCCAACCGGGGCTGGAGATGAAATGCAACTAAGGTACATGCCCTTGGCCAGAATCGAATCTGGACTCTCTGGTCCACAGGCCAACGCTCTAACCGCTGAGCCAAACCGGCCAGGGCCCTTTAATGCTATTCTAAAGGAGCAGGTTTAAGGCATAATAGATTTTTTGTTTCATGGAGAAAGAGCTGGGATATCTCTCAGCTCCTGATAGAACTGTTCAGAGGGTAGTAGTTTAACAATAAAGGGAACTGGAATAATGGAAGGACACCCCCTATCTTGGGGGGGGGGGCAAAAAGAAACTCCCAGAACAATTGCTTTTAATGAGCTGCCCATGAGATACAAGTCACCACTACAGTAAGTCCTCACTTAATGTCGTTGATAAGTTCTTGGAAACTGCAACTTTAAGTGAAACACATAACAAAACTAATTTCACCATAGGCTGATTGATAATGAGAGTTAAATTCCTATGGCATATTTCTAGTCACAAAAGTATCAAAACTAAAAACGATCCAAAACACTTCTAATATTAAATATTGAAATAAATGTGCACTATACATACATTTAAGATCAATAAAAAACAAGATGATTTTCTTTTTTTTAAATCATCAACACAGTATTGTCTTCCCTCTGTCAAACCCTGAGCAAACCACCTTCCCCAGGCTGCCTGGGAAGGTAAAGGAAAAGGAACATACAGAGCAGACAAGACATGGGAGAAAGAACTACGGGAGGTTGGGGGGTAGAGACAGCTCCTTCACATGGCGAAGAGGATGAGAAAGGCCACCATGGCCTCTGAGACGGCAAAGCCCAAAATGGAGTAGGAGAAGAGCTGTTGCTTCAGAGAAGGGTTCCTGGCATAACCAATGATGAGGCTCCCAAACAGTCCCAATTCCAGCCCCAAAGCCTGCCACCCCTGCTGTGGCAGCCGCAGCCCCAGCCCCCATGAACTTGGCTGCGGTGTCGATGTCTCTTGGTGCTGGTTTGGATGCTGCGGCTAGAAGTGTGAGGTCAGGGAAGGTGGGCTGCCAGACTGCAGTGTCTGGTCGTTTCAGCACCACTGCAGACAGTGACCGGCTCAGGGGAGAGGTGTCCCTGACCAAGGAGGGAGTCGAGACAAACTTGGCACAGGCATACATTTTCAGGGGATGAGGGAAGCTGCTCCCAGTGCAGAGAAGACAGAGAGGAGGAGGAGGATTTTTCCAACCCACTAATTCCAGCTCAGGGTTGCCTGTGTCTGGAGCTTTTCCCAGCAGCTCAGAGCACCAGGCCGGCACCAACCCAGGATAGGACGGACACATACACACACACACACACACACACACACACACACACACACACACACAATGAGAGAGAGTAGGACAATGTTAGACACACTAGTTCACCTAATGTGCACATCTGTGGGATGTGGGAGGAAACCAGAGTACCCAGAGAAAACCCACACAGACATGGGGAGATCGTGTAAACTCCACACAGTTGCCCTGGGCAGAATTTTTTTCCCCTCTTATCAACTACATTCTGAGTCTATGCAAATAAGGGAAAATTTTGTTAAAATACAAGAAAGCAAAATTTTCTTTCAATAAAATTTGGTGATTTCAGAAATGGAAAATCAATCGCTGATTTTAATAAATTATAGATTACTAACAAAAATTTTTACAAATATGTTTTTACTGACTTTTTTAGAGAGAGGAAGGGAAGAGAAAGAAACAATGATGTGAGAAACAGTGATCGGCTGCCTCTTGCACACCCCCTACTGTGGACTGAACCTGCAGCCTGGGAATGTGCCCTGACCAGGAATTGAATCAGGACCTCTGAGTCCATGGGATGACTCTCAATCCACTGAGCCACACTGGCTGGGCACTAACACAATTTTTTGATGGCCAACGTAAAGTAATTAGGTTTTATTCATTTATCACCCATTCATTCAATAAACATTTCCCGAGCCCTTACTATGCACTCAATATCAACGGTATTGCAAACTAGTGGAGAGCCAGACAAACAAATGAACACTTATGATACACTGATTAAACACTGTACAGAGTTATGAGAGGTTGCTCTAGTAGCACACTGGGGTGTGTGTGGGGGAAGGGAGGGCGGAATGGAAATGTTCCTAAAGAAGAGTTGCCAAAACTGGGAGAAAAAGTTGCAGTTATTTTCACAAACAGGGTGAGGAAGCATGCAGGCAGCTAGGAAGAGGTGAGCTTTCAGTAGAAAGAGGGGCTAGAGCATGAAAGGCCTTGGGAGTCCTTCTGCAAGGCAAATGCTGGTTTTCTTTTATCTAAATATGTTACCAAATAAAATTAAGAAACGACTACTAGGCATGGTTTTAGCTCAACAGCAAAAGCTTTAATATTTAAGGAAAAATTTCTTCCTCTTAGGAAGAGTGTTATTTTATGCTGTTTACTAGTTTCCAGGTCATGTTCTACATTTTGTTTAAATGCACAAGCCAACCTTATTTAGCTTATACAATCTAAAAACTGTAATTACTCAGAACTCTGGCTCAGATATGGTGTCATCTTAAGTAGCAGTAAAAACTTCTGGTATCAGTAAACAAACCTCTAGATACCAGTAAACAAACCTCTAGAACAGTTCAGAAGGAAATGAAAAATGCTTCCACAGTAAGGAAGAGTCTTAGAACTACTTACTCACTGTGGGGAGGTGCATGATAACACCCTCAATTCAGTGACTATTAACTAAACTAGCCTATTAGGAAATCAATAAGGTGGAGTGGCAGGTGATACAAAGAGAGACTATGGATATTTTCTCTTTATAGAGTAATCTAAGGCTCTTTAACCTGTTAACTGGGAAATAACCGGGGAATTCCCTTTTTACTGAATGCAACATTTGATGTATTTATACGTCCCGCTCAGTTAACAGGTTAGGATAGAGGCAAATAAGACAAAACAATTGAAATAAAACCAAAAACACCAACTATAATATAACAAATGTCCTTCATAACCACGAGCATGGACTAGGAACTATCTGACTTATGCTAGAACTCCTGTAGATGAGAGACCCAGGGTCTTCTGGCTAACTAATGCTTCTCCATCACAGTTTCATTTACAAGTGGATAAGCATTAAGTATAAGCCAAATAATACCTTATCCTCTAATACCACCACATAACTGAGGAATTAAAATATTCTACCTGCTTCCTGAGTAAGAAAAGTCACAAGAGGAATTGTATGTAGTTTGTAATAACAGTTTTATAAAGTTACATCATATGCTTATTTCATTTTCAGAAATTCA